CATTCACATGGGAAAATCCAGTACCACAATCACCTGTAAGGTTGTGTAGTATTTTTAGCCAATAGCGGCCAGATATATAATTTAGTTTGAGATAAAGTATTGATGGAATATACTGCTTTGGTCCAATATCAAAATAATTAGAATCAATAATAAATGTAGCATTAATGACAGGAAAAATAAAAATCCGTTCATAAGAATCAGTTTGGTGAGTGGCAAGTTTTTAAGTGTCAATGTCTTTCCAGAAGTGTAGTCTGTCACTAGCCTTAAATTAGTTATTACTAGGCTTAAAATTGAAGTAAGGTAAGAAAATAATTTAAATTTCTTCCAGCTTTACATGGGGTAAACAAGTTATACTGGTTAGTAGCTGATTAGGTAATTGGGCAAATCAGTTTGGATTTGTTCTTACACTGTAGCTCCAAAGACTAAGTACAAGCAGAGTGGAGATTTCAGGCAGAATGAGTTTGTGCTTTAGATGCAGTGAGAGGAGGCTTTCTTTTCTCTTCACTTTTTGATTTGCTCTATTCAGTATCCAGTGTCACCTGACTCCTACTTCAGTACAGCAGAAGGAGCTGCTGGTGGGTAACTGGTAAGCTATTCTGTGTGTTATGAATAATTAGAATGGTTAACTGGTTTTTGAGTAGTTCAGCCAAGTGGAAAGTGCAGCTTGTGTAAAGTAGAAAGTCATAGATGTACCATGTGTCTGAGACTAACAAATCTGCAGGAAGTCTCATTGTCTGCACAAGCTTGAGCTTTGATTTTAGAACTTGAGTTACGTCTGGAGTCATTGTGGTGCATCTGCAAAGCAAAGGGCAATGTGAATAGTATTTTTAGAAAAGTGGTCACACCATAGCTTAAGGATATGCAGGCAGCTAAATCCAAGTGAACCAGGCAAGCAGTACAGGAGTCTCCTGAGATAATCTTATTTGTAAATTACTTTTGCAATTTGGACACGTGAGAGCAATAGTTTCACAGAGGAATGCAGTCAAGTCATCGGCACCACTGTACACAACTACTGTACAGAAGGTGAGAAAGAAAAGTGGAAGAGCAATACAGATAAGGGATTCCCTAGTTAGGGGATTAGACAGGCTCTTCTGCAGCCATAAACCTATTACCAAATGGTAAATTGATTCCCTAGTGTCAAAATCAAGGAGGTCGCAGAATAGCTACAGGATATTCTTCTGGAGGAGGGTGAACAGCCAGAGGTCATGGACTATGCTGAATGTTTAGACCAGACTGTGCACAGTGAACATGGTGGGACAAAAGGAAAACCATATTTAACAATCTTGTTGGATTTTTTTTTGAGGATGTTACTTGTAGCATTGGACAAACGAGAACCGGTGTATTTGGATTTTCAGAAGGCCTTTGATAAGGCCTCACACAAGAGGCTAGGAAATAAAACCAGATTGTATGGAATTGTAGGAAATAAATGAATGTGGATTAAGAATTGGTTCTAAGACAGAAAGCAGAGATCATTCTCAGGATTGCAGGCTGGTATTGACGGGTCACTGCAATTCCGCAGATGTTCACCATCTATATAAATGATGTGGATGTGATGTCTCCAAGTTTGGTAATGACATGGAACTGTGTGGGAGCACAAATTGTGAAGAGTGTGCAAAGAGACTTCAAGAGCACATGGGCAGGCTCAATGAATGTGCTAGAATATGGCAGATTGAATATAATGTAAATATGTATTGTTATTCACTTTGGTAGGAAAAAAGGGGCAGAATGTTTCTTAAATAATGAGAAGTTGCAAAGCATGGATATCTGAAAGGATTTGGGTGGTCTTGTCCATGAGTCACTTGAAGTTAGTACGTAAGTGCAACAAGCAATTGGAAAAAACAAACAATACATTGGCATTCATTTCAAGGAAATTTGAGTAAAGAAGTAAAGATGTCTTGTTACAGTTGTATAGAGCCTTGATGATACCACACCTGGAGTACTGTGTACAGTTTTGGTCTCTTTATCTACAGAAGGATATTCTTGCCAAAGAGGGAGATTAATGAAGGTTTACCAGACAAATCCCTGATATGGCAGGATTGTTGTACGAGGACAGATTGAGGAAGCCAAGCCTTTATTCTCAAGAGTTTCAAAGGAGAGGTAATTTCATTGAAACTTTCAAAATTCTTAGAGCATGACAGAAATAATAGACAGGATGTTTCACCTGGTTGCTCTCTCCTGAACCAGGAGACATAATCCTAGGATAAGAGAGAGGACATTTACTTCACTCATAGGGTACAGAATCTTTGGAAACTCAAGCATTAAGCAGGTTGAAGAAACTGGCAGGTTTCTGGAAACTAATGATTTAAGGGATGTGGAAACCGTGGAAGAAAATGACATTGAGCAGATTAACAGCAATGATCTAGAATGGCAGGACAGGCACAAGAGGCTGAATGGTCTACATCTATTCCTCTGTTCCCCAGGGTGACCATGTGTTTTCTCATAGTTGTAAGTAAAAACAAAGGGTCAATATTAGATGTTACAACAGTGAAAGAACATTGAATTGACAGACATGGTTCTACCATCGTGGATAACCTGAGTGGATTCAAAATCATTGGAATGAATTTCAGATTGTCTGTGATGACCTTTTCTCCCCTGTGGCGCAAACATATCTCACTGTGACAAAAATTGAGTACTTTATCTATAATTTATAGTTTCCCACTCTGCACTATTAATTTTTGCCTAAAAATAATGGGATAGAAATTGATATCCAATACAACTGTCTCTTAGGTATTAAGTGGCCACAATGATAAATTTAGCTGTGGGACAGGCCAGTACCAATTGCTGCACGTTTGTTCATAAGCAAGGGGTTAAGCATCGCAAAAAATCCATCCACACAAGCTTCTTCGTTCAAAACTGACTTCAGGACGCAGATTTTCTTGGAGTGCCTTAAATCTTGATGGCTAAATCCCAAATTAAAATTTAATTCTGATGTAAGATAAGTGGAGTTCCAGAGGAGTGGACAATCTACCTATTTTTTGCTTCCAGTTGCTCACTTCATTGCTTTAAATCCATTCGAAAAGGTTCAAGAATGGAGTAAAGAAAATCAATCGGCATAGCAAACCAATTCTCCTATCAGACCATTGACTGTACCCATTTGAATCTCCTGATGGAAGCATCAACGTGAAAGACTCAAACTCAAAGTAAATCCAGTGCTCCCTGGATTTCTTTCTTTGCACCCACATATAATCATTCAAAACTCTGGACAGGAATAATTCCTCTGAAGTTCACTGTTTAGTGTAATATAAAGGATACATTTACAATTTCATTATGAATAGCAAAGCTGTGCCCTGGCCCTCGGGCATAGCATACAAAAAAAAATCAGGATTTCTCTGCGCTAGTGGCTTGCTCACAAATGTTCAGTGTAAGCAACAGCATACCTCGCATGAACAAGACAACACTGACTGATTACATTCCCATCATGAGCTAGTTTGTGGTCATGGCATGCTTCTTCATGGCTCTGACAAATAATCTATCCTTATGCAGCCTTGAAATTGCTGGAAAAAAGTTAAAATGGAGGGCCTGGAATTCTTGGAGAGATCCTGTGCTGCGGAGATGGCAGAACAGGCATTCCACCCAGACAACTCTGAAATTTCTGATCACTTTGGAAATCCTATGATTAGAGTTCTTCAGCGTTTTAGAATGGTGACCTCACAAATGAGAAAGACTGGGGATGTGTGATAATGGGGGCGATGGGAGTGAATAGAAAACAGGTCAAAAATTCATGAGATAACAAGGTGTAGAGCTGGATGAACGCAGCAGGCCAAGCAGCTTTCGTGGTCCAGGAATGCTGCTTGGCCTGCTGCGTTCATCCAGCTCTACACCTTGTTATCTCAGATTCTCCAGCATCTGCAGCTCCTACTTTCTCAAAAATTCATCTTTCTTTTGCTGTCTGGAAATAAAATTTATCACCAAGCTCCAGGAATCTTAGAGTCAAAATATTTGAAAACAGAATTACTCTTTACTGTTATAAAGCATAATAATTAGCAATAAAATATGACCGTATGCTTACTTAAATAGTTGACCATAATGCACAGATAAATGAATCTTATCAAAATTATCCAGCATTCTCAGTTTCAAAACTAAATACCTTCCTAAATGGCATTGACCTTTGTGTGACTTTGAAAGAAATAATTTTATTGTGAACCTCCATTCTTGATTAAAATAGTCATTTATTATGTATGGTAGACCTGTATAGGTGCCAGCAGTGTCTTAGTAGTTCTCTCCATTGTCTTCGGCACTATTTATTCCTCAAACAATATTATTAAAATTGATGGTTAGTTAGTTGTAATCACAGCGTTGCTTGTGCATCCATGCTCTGCAAATTGTCTGCCGACTACATTTCAAGAACAACTTAATTGCAGTAAAATGCTTTGGGATGTCCCAAGATCACGACAGACATATAATGCAAATCCTTCTTTGAACTTTGTATTTTGAAGGTTAAGGTCAATGAGGACAGGGGATGTAAGGGGTTAAGTACATGGCTGTATGGTTTTCTGAACTACATTTCCACTTTTTAATTTAGGTACTGCCATTTATTCCATTTCATATTTTGTGACAGATACTGTAGGCACTTGGCAAAGGAAGTGTTTATGAACTTGTAAGAAAAGCTAACAATGGCAATGAACAGCTTGCACAATATCTAAGTTTTATTGAACAGACATGTACCTTATGTCCATTACACCCGAAGGTGTTATAAAGTAATTCCCAAATATTCGTATGTTCAAAAGGGTAACTATTTTCCAAAAGATGAGATTTAATTCGTTTGACAAACAGCAGTCTTGAATTATAAATTATGCTTTGGAGCAGGGTCACCTGTTGGGTTAAACATTGCTAGACACATATAAAAAACATTTTTTCCTTCCCTGGAATGAAAGAGATTGCTCATTCAAATACTGCCATTTAGCATGTCTTGCTTTAATCCATGACTGAGCTCCAGGAACTTTTGTCTGGAGAAAAAGCATGAACTTAAGTGGCTGCTCTAAAGAACGAGGATTACTCACCATCGTCTATGATTGTCACGACAACCCCAGAGCCAGTTATATTTTTCTTCCATGCTGGCATCACATTGATGTCAAATCCCTTTGGCCCATTTGTCTGGCCAGTGTTAAACTGTAAAGAAAAATATTAACTATGAGGTTTACAGATGTTTTGTAGCACCAGAGCCCAGGAAGTTCTGAGAAGAGATGCCAAGAAATGCAAACATATTTTCTAAAATCTCCCCAAGGCAATCAGGAGATTTCAAAATGCATGAATTAAATCTAATGAAAAGTACAACTGCACCCAGCCTGCCATCACAAAGTTTATCTAATATTCTACTTTGTGCTGTTAGTAATAATGAAATAATACACCAGCTTTTCACAAACCCCATGCATATTTTGTACCTCTATCCATGACAAAAATAATAATCAGGTATTCCATTTTGCTCAACACAGTAAATTCAAGTTAAAAGATAGCTCCATTAAATGTACATTAAAACATATTTGGTGTCAGAGAGAATCGGAATACAAACAAAATAATGAGTGCCCGTAAAACTATTGAAACAATAGTGATTGAAGCAGTCAACAAATTGTTGCACTCTTCTGGTGTTAATTTTTCAATATCAAAGACACATGAATATTGAAAATACACAGTACTCTAAATGTTGATGGTTTCAGGGGAATATTTATAACTTCAACGAAACAAAAATGTGAACAAAATAGTCAAAATGTGAGTCAAAATAGTCCCAAATGTATACACGATTTGATTTGAATTCAGGAGTGGTATTGGTTGATGGTAAAATGGGAAGGCACTTGTGGTCAGAACTTGGGGGAGATCATTCAAATATCTTGAGCAAAGACATACCTAGTAAATTTTAGCCACCTAACCTCTTTATTGTGGTGTAGCAAAAGTCATTAACTAGACTTTAGATATTTATACATGTGGGTATGAATCCTTAAGACATATGAGATGCAATGGCAGTTGTCAAATCTAAGATTCAGCGCCTGAGTTAATCATTACCAATTTTTCTGACCATCCCTCTCACCTGAATCTTTGGCAAGGTTGCATCCAACATCAAACTGATTTGCCATATAAGGGTCAATATAGACTCAAAACTTCTCAAAGACAGAAAAAGAGCAGTGTGCTGTTGCCTGTTTTCACACAGATGTTTGCACTCACAGGCATTCTGTTTAACAAAATGTAGCAAAAGCAGGAATAAATGGCCAAAGTAGATTCCACAAATATCAACAAGATTCTTCCACAATTTTTAAGCTCTGTAGTAAGGCACAAAGTTACCCAACACCACAACACAAATCCAGGCCTGGAATTCAGTATAATGGAAACAAAGAACTGCAGAAATCTGAAACAAAATCAGAAATTGATCAGCAGGTCTTGCAGCATCTGTGGAGAGTTAACATTTCAAATCCAGTGACCATCCTTCAGATAACTTGACTTGGGTTGGCAAGGAGGTGGGTGGTCTAAAAAAATGGTGGTGACATGGTGCAGCACCTTCAACCTTCATAATAGTGACGGAACAGGGCATTTGATCTCATCCAGGCTCCTATGTACACCAATTTACATCCTCAAAGGTGTGTGAGAAACCTGACCCCTCAAACCTTTTTTCACCTTCCAAGGGCCAGCCCACATTCTCACAAAGAAGAGGAAGGCATGATCCTGAGCACACGATCTAAAGGAAAAGGCAAAGAGACTTTGAATTGAGAATTGAGACTTGGGCTGAAGGAGACTGCGATTTTCTAGACAAGCATTCTGTGCTTTCATCAGGGCAGATCTCGGCAGCATCATACAGATGGCTACACACCAGTACCTTTCCCAAGCAACAGATGCTGTCTTCATTGAGGCTCGACAAGACATCAGATTCACAACTGTTGGGGCATCGTAGTCTCGACAGGTAATGAGTTTATTGCTTGGAGTAGTCAGGTGTTCCCTATAATAACTTCTGGCAAGAGTCCTGGTCATTTCAATGCTCTGCTGTGCTCTCTACGAAATGGCCCTCCAGAGAACTGAGGACCATGAGGACTGTGAAACCCTGTTATGGAGATGGTCATCAGATGAACTGCGAGGGCAGGAGGTAAGACTGCAGGCACAGTAGGATAACACTAAATGCAGATACCTCTGCTGCACGACGAGGTGGCCTTTTCCTACCATCCACTAGGAAGAGAATCCTTCTGCTTTCCTCCTGTTGGGGCTCCTGGTGTTCTGCAACATACCTTTGGTGCAATGGCAGGCTGTGGCACAAACCCTCTTCTCTTCGGAAAACCTGCAGCTTAAGACATGGCTGCATTGGCTGTCTAAAAACCCAACACTGTACCTGCCACCAGCAGATTTAATAGGGCAGAAGATTGATCTCCATATCAATTAAGGGCTCATCGCTGCAAAAATCTGAATCTCTGTTAACCCCCTACCACAGCCTGTTTTCTGACAGAAATGGATGCTGATGTTTAGATACTAGCGTAGAAATGTCAGCATGTCAAAAAAAAGCGTATCAGTCCTCATGAGGCCTCCTTATGATGGAATTGGTGAGTAGCAGACAACTAACAGGCATCCCCAAGCAGCTTGCTAGGGAAAAGAAAGCAAAGGTCTGGTCATGAAATCAACCTCAATCCTCAAGTAAGGCATGACAGGGGAGTGAGAAGTTGGGCAACTGAGAAGGAGAGCTCTTTGGAAGGGGGTAGACCAAGAATGGGAAGGAGGCAAGTTGACCATTGGGTCAAGAGGGAGAGAGATTGGGTTGGAAGATTATCAATGGCTGGGAGGATAGCAGTTGCTAGTGACTGGAGATGTCAGGTAGGATAGACGTCAATTGCGATAATGACAGAAGTGATTAGCTGGCAATAGTCTGGTTCACCTTAATATGGGGTTGGAGGGAGCATTTGTGTTCTAAGGTCGTTAAGGCAATTACTTTTTAAATATTACCTGAACCGCCGATATCTAGACCACATTTTTGTGATTTCATCCAGTGCCAATTACCTCAGGGCTATCCAATTTGCAGTGGAAGATTTAAACAGCAGTAGGCCCTTTACTTCAAATGCAAAGTATCTAAGACCAAGTGAGTTTCTTTTTTAACCAATACCAGTGGTGTACTTGTATCTCCTGTGCAATTCTTGATGGCCATATCTGAGATTTGGGGAACCACTTAGTTCCTGAAGAAAAGGTGCTATGTGGTCCTATCAGCAAGCAGAGTTGGAGCTGACAATCCCCAGAGGGAATAATTTATGGAGGTACTGTAGATAACAAGTGTCAAGGTTGGGTCCAAATTGTGGAGGTCTGAAAGTTATTTTGACTCCAACTTCTTGATCACCAAATTAAATACACTAAAGCCCAAAATAATGCCATCAACATAAAACTATCTACAAAATGAGGCACACCCAGTCTTTCGGGAGCTTATGGAATAGGCAAATCATGACTGTACTCATGCTCTCCAACACATCATTAACAGACATATCAAGTAGCATGAGTGGCTATGGATAATTTTACTCACTTATTTTTGAGCAAAGATATGTTTAGTGAGTATCCCATTAACCTTTACATAGCTTACAGAGTTGGAGTCCATACTCAAACTGAACTAGTGAAAACAAAGATTCAACCACTGGATTGCTAACTTGATTTATCTAAGCAGGGGTAGCATTAGGATTACAATTCACTGCAATAACTCTGGAATAGGGAAGGGAGAACATGCCAGAATTCTTGTTCCTGGTTCTTTCTAGAACTTAAAAGTGAAGAGGTGGCTACAATATATACATCAGCACAAGCCTATAGAGTTGAAGGAAGTACATGCAGATGATATTAGTAGGACATTAACACCTAGAGTTATGTCTCAGCAGAGGATGGAAAAACCTGAGTGAAAATCAAATAGTTTTCTCAGAAGTATCAAAGTTTATGTTTGCTCTGGAATCCTGGCCTACCGGTTACTAACCATACGAAACCCCTAAATGAAACAAAGAATAGCAGGTGCTGGAGATCTGAAACAAAAACACAAAGTGTTGGGGAAACTGCGCGATCTGCTAGCATCTGTGTTGAGAGAAACAGAGTTCAAGTTTTGAGTTCGGTGATCCTTAATCAGAATGAAGATCCTTTGTCTGAGAGAAGGTCATTGGACTCAAAATTTAACTCTGTTTTTCTCTCCACATGTGCTGCCGGATCTGCTGCATTTCTTCAGCATTTTGTTTTCCTATATGAAACACATTTTAAAAAAATGTTTCCACAATAGGTGGAATTTTCTGCTGCCTGGCATCGGAGAGGTACCCTAGTTCTTGCCATCTCTCCAATGAAGTCATTGAGAACTTTCTCGACCCGCCACCAATTAAAGACCTCCAGGGTCACGTAAGGGCCTCAATGCACACCTCCTTGGATGTCTGCCTTTCCTGTGGGTGAGAAGGCTGGCTAGCGTCTGTTAAACTAGAGCAGATTGGTGTATGTGGTGGTGGTAGTATTTGGGGGCAGGTTTGGTTATGGAGACTGGCTCCATTTTCCCCAGTCTAGGCACAGCTGGGGAAGGGGGCTAGCATTTGAAAGCAGTCCCCCTGCCCTGGCCTTCAACAACCTTCTTCTCATACCTTGGATCCCACAATAAGATGACATGAATCACTTCCAATTGGTGCCAGTTTCTCGTCGGCCCAGCGGTCTTTTAGAGCCAGAAGCGAATTAGCCAGCATTGTCAAGCAACCGGGAGGGCTGAGAAACATGTCCATGATGCAGCAACTGGTGAGCAATTGAGTGAGTTCTCTCAGCAATTATCTCCTACCTGCATCTCGAACAGTGGGACAGCCCGTTATCTAACACTAGACAGCCTCCTGTTGGCTCTCAAGTCCAGGAGCTTTCCCTGTGTCCTTAATTGGAGTGGAATCCTGTTAAAATCTCCCTGAGACTCCAGCTTTCATCCAGATGGTGAGATTGTGACCCAGGAATGAAAACTCCACCCCAGGAGAGCTCCCAATGAATTTCAAGGCCGTAAGGTACAATTTACAGCTGTGCAATAAATGTATGCCCAGTGGTAAAAGAAAAGGCATAATCAGCATTCATTAAATTTCCTTCAGAGTATAACAATTAGAAAGCCCTTCACTCCAGCTGTGTCAAAACGTCACAAAGAAATCCCAAGAGGATAAACTATCTAC